AACTATATGCATTACTGTGACATTATGTGCATAACAGAACAATACCAGAAAAATAATAAAGTTTCAGACGACTGCTGCAATATTTTTCAGACTTTAAAAAAAACATAGCACACCTTTATCAGTAAAGTGTTATCCAAATGAATTGTAATGCTGTTCAGTTGTGCAGTAATGACATTTTACGTGGTCCTCAGGTGGTGGAGGCTGTGTTGTCAAAGGAGAGTCAGAGCAGAGCCATCGACCGTAAGGTACTGAGGGAATTACTATTCACTTTGTTGTGCTATATTAAACATTATTAACTTTCCCTCATTGTCTTGACCAGAACAGAGAATAAGATTTATATGATGTAATTTCATCTTCGCTCTTGTTTTAGGCGGATGGAGTGGACCTCTGCTCTCAGAACACTTTGTTACAGTCACTGCTGCGGTTGTGTGATCCGTGGCCCGGTGGAAGCAGCCCACAGATTGAGGCGATTTCCCTCAATGCCATGAAGACTCTGTGTGTCTTAATTGAGAGAACGCCAGACAAACATGTTGACAGGTACACAAAATTTTTAATTGAAATCTGATGGTTAAGAGATCTTATTCTGTGGCAACACATTTGTTTAGTATAGTTTAGCAATATGGAAACCAAAAGACTTGGTGAATAAGAATGTAAGCAATTCATTAAATAATATAATATTAAAAAGTAATGTGGAAGTGAAACTTCGCCTGTTATTTACTTGGTATAGACATGCGCAGATCCCATGATGGTTGCTTTTGTCTTTTAGAGGACTTCTTCATGATTTTGAAGAAAACATAAAGAGAAAAAGAAACAAAGAAAAGACTATGTTTATGTTTCTCAAGTTTGTCAGTACTGCAAAGAAGAGATAAAGTGACCAGAAACCCCATTTTAATGCTTGATAATGCTTGATAATGCTTCTATATATTGTGCAGAGTCTGCAGGATTATACATACACATGAATATGATACAGCTGCAGTTGCGTGGAATACTGCTGCAGGCAGAGGAGTGATGAGTGATAGGGTTGTTTGAATTTCCACTAGCTCACAGTACTTGCGTAACATCTTAGTGTAAACTACCTGCGGTGATTCATGGTCAATGCGGTCATCTTACTTAAAGTAGAAATGTGATGAAATGTAAATATAAACTTCATTACCATCAGTTGTAGACGTTTCTGGAAAATGGTGACACTCATCCCACAGTTATTCTGCACAGGGGCCAGCTTTTAAACTGGAAAACTCCAGATGGTGTCAGGAATTTCATTTTCCTTTTATCATTTCATACCAAGTCTGAAATCACAACAACTCATTCAAGACCTGGATGAAGGTGCTGGAAAGTAATGATGATAATTATTCAGCATAAATCATTAAATGCATTTCTTAACAACATGACTCCTGACAGTTTCAACAATGTGAATTTTACTGGTAATATCAGTTTTTCATTGTGATATTAACTTCAAAAATCCTGTCTGTGGAACATCCAAACCAACAGGGGTCCAAGAGTCCAAAATTATAGTTTAATCAAAAAGAGATTCAGAGCTGCAATTTCTAGTTTGTGTTTGTTTTCTATAGTTTATTCATTTTATGTGAAAGATGCTTATGATGAATTTCTTCATTTTTAGATGTGCGTAACCATGTTCAAGATTTTTATATAGGCCTCAATATGTGTAAACCTAGAAATGTATGAATCTCTGTTAGTCATGTGTGCATCATTCCTCCGTCTCACAGGTTAGAGTGTGTGATGCCGGTGGTGTGTACGTGTGTGTCAGTGGACAGCCGGTTCCAGACAGTTTCACAGTGTGTGTCCATCCTCACATCGATGTCTGACCATGAAGCACTGGCGAAGAAGCTATGCTCTCAGCATGGTGAGGCTGCCCCCTCTGCAGCACTTTACCTTGTCTGAAGTTTAATATCATTTATATGCTCGACCAAAGTCCTACAAGAAGCAAGTCTCAGAACTATTTATTTATATCTAATTGAATCCTTCCATAGATTTCAGTGCCATGTTTCCACCTCTTATGTTTCTGATGATGACATTTTATTGTG